TATCTGAATCAAACCTTATACTAAAAAAAGCTTATAAAAAATTGAATCCAAACTTGCACAAATATACAGGGTAGATGCATTTGAAATGAAAGAAAGTACAATTCGCGTTTTTGACCACCCTGTATGAGCAAAAGTGAAAATTCGAAAAAGTAACAGATAAGATATAAGCTGAGGTGTGTAAGTTTTTTTCACATAAAATTCAGCACTTCAAATTTCAAAATGACTGATTGAGAGGTTGCCGAAAAGAACGATTTTTCTGGACAAAACACCTTAAATCTCAGTAGCTAATTACCAAAACCCCATTGTATGTTATATCAATATTCTGTTTTTGAATTGGTTCATCCAAATATGCAATAAAATTTGAGGCATTCAATTTAAAAAATCACAACTTTGATATGTAGGTCAAAATTGGGACACCCTATATAATTGCCAATATTCTCGAAATGTGCCCTCAAACGTCATGTATAATACTCCATAAATAGATTTTCCCAAAATGTATTTCTTTATGAGTAATATTTCGTCCACACATGGATGGGCCATCCTATATTTTTCAAATATAAAATAAATGATCTCTAGTAAGCAGCTTTCAAGCAACAGGCCACCCTCTACACATTCCGCTAACTTCAGTGGTACACTAACAGTCCAATCGTTTGGTGTTGATGGCCGTATTGACTTCAATTTCCAATCTAACCGTCATATCGGAAAATAGCACCCAAAAACGGTCCTGTGACAATATCTGCTTTATGACTCATTTTACGGTAAACTAGAAAAAAGTCCTACAATATATGTCTTCAGCGTTTTCTGTATGGTCAATATATCCAGCGCACGAGATCGAAAAAGTTTACCATAATACGGATATACAGGAAATCGTTAATTGGTTCAATAATTTGGTATCTTGACCTGGAGCGTTTTGGGGAACTTTAAAGGTAATGATTCTATGTATTTCGACGTGCTCTTTTCAAGTTATTACTTTGCCTCTTATTTTTACCAAACGTTCCGCCATATTGGACAATCTTCCAACTCATATAAAGAAGTGCATAAATTGTACAAACTTTTTTCTAGTTCAACTAGCTTTCATAGTAAAATAAAGTAATAAAGACGTTCTGAAAATATGGATGAGGCATTTTTTGCTGCCATTTTTGCAAGATTCGGAGAAAGTGTGTCAAAATCTACAAACAAAAATATGTCTACCCCATTTGGCAGTAGGTGGTATCCAAACATATTGTGGCTAGGTACCAGTCCTACCAGAAATTTCAAGTTACTTTTAATTATCTTTAAGTCTAATAATGAATATTAGTGTCTGACAAGTAAGCATATATTTAACCTATTCATATAGGAAAAGCTCCTATTTTATGCCCATCCTCGCAAATAATCACATAACTCTCTACTAGACGATCACCTCATCTGAATCTAATTAATCCCTGGCAAATTTCCAGCATCACGATCACAAAAAACATACTTTTTCTCCGGTATAATTTAAACGTCATAATGAATTAAGATCACCCGGTTGACTACACAGTCCTTTGAACTGAACAACCGTTTTCGCCAGACTATGAATTTATGTTTCCCGTTAGATGTTCTCTTGTCTGTGTCTGTAAACCATTAAAAATAATTTGGCAAAATTTACCGGCGCATATATCTTCCAGGGATATATGATTGGTTTATTGCTGGTTTACGATTTCGACAAAGTATTCTAGTCGGTCGTAAAACCGTTCCGATTGGAAATGACTTATTCGGATGCATTGAAAAATTAATTGGGCGTTTCATTGAGCGTAGATAAGGTAATTTCAATTGTTGTGTACAACTTTACAATGTATTGATGGTCGCGACTGGAAATACAAGAGATAACAAATTGGTAAGAAACATAAAGGCAACGTTTTTTGTAAGGTAGGTAAGAGCGACCGTCATTGAATCCCAATAAAGTCACGTAATGTTTGGGTGACTTAGCATGTGCCTTGAACTCAAGTCTTGTAGTCATTAGATGCTACGGAATTACCAGTGGTCAAGAGTCGAGTCAACGTCTGACAATAAAGTCGCTCATTAGTCTAATCATATTCGCAAATTTTCCCGAAATAATTGTAAAGTCTGGATTTATTGGTGCAAGTTGTTCAAGGGGGTATTTAAAGCATGGACGCGTGAAATGGGGTTTTGTGGGAAAACTTTTTATTTGATAACAAAGAATGAGAAAACGTATTTTTTGGGATTTAATCGAAAGTGTTGACAGGAACGAAAAAGCTTTTCATATAAGATTTTTAGTTATTTATGAGACCTACAGAATGAGATGACACGTAAAAAGATCCGACTGGTAGCAAAAATGTTATGGCCGAAAAACGAGGCTAAATGCTGGTTTTGACACTTTTGTCAAGTAGTTTTTTGAGAATTTCTAATTTTTTATCCCAAATACACCTGTTTGCCGGCCATCACTACTAGTTTATTGAGCAATATACAGGGCTAGTTCAAAGATCATTTAATAGAAAAATACACGTGTTTACGTTGCCGATAGGAATCACAAACCATTCCGAAAGATAAATGTTATTTTTATGCGAAAAGCAAAGGTTACGTTTTTTACTTCTATAAAAATTCAAACATTTCGTATTTGTGAGTAATTGAACAAATCGTCGGCTTTCTCACGAAGTGTCCTAACCAACGGTTAGTGAATTTTACAGGAGAGCAAGAAAACGAAATCAGCGTGTTGTTGATTGAGCATTGTATGTAAAGTTTAGATATTTCCGAATTGAAAATTCACGTGTATTAGCCTATATTCATTGTGAATCATATGCCGTTTCAATATTTGCGGTAGCTGATCAAGCTATTTTGGAAAAAAATGGAAAACGCACGTAGGTCACTTCGTGAGAATTTTCAGAAGATTTTTGTCAGACAGAGCTAAAATATATTTTCATTGAAGTTCTTGTTATTATAATTTTTTAAGATATACAGAATATGTTTCATTTACTTATAAGCAATCAATCAAATTTCCAGCCAAGGGGGCGATTATCTCAGAAAATTTGTTGATTGTTAAATTTTTTAAGTAATCGTTGGTCTGCTGACAGCAAAGTTTATGTAAAAAAGTTCAGATCGACTTTTGAAGTTCCCTAAAATATTTTCCTCAATGTCCATGCCTGAAATTGATGTAGATTATGACAAAAATATTACGTGATTAGATGAAGAAAACAACTCGAAACGTCAAACCAATTTTTATTGAAATAAAAACTAAAAGAAAAGCAACTGACTTAAATATTATATTTTGACATATTACCAGCAAATGTTGATGTGTTGTGATACACAAAAAAGGCAAAATTATCAATAATTCATTCCGTTTCATGGGCCAAATTTTGTAAAAGTTTTGGAATTCTGGTAAGCGTACAACTAACTGGCGTTTTTTGGATTTTACATAACGAAATTAAGTCGGAGTACTTCTTTTTTGTTATTTTTAAGTTGTTCTAGTTTAATATCATTTATATTATTACTATTTCTCATCAGCCTGTTTAACTCATACTGTCATAACTAGTATCGTGGTCCCTAGACTTAAAAAATATTTTGGTGGGCATGTCTTTTATTACAATAAACTCCGTTTAATATTTTGCTCCTCCTCAGCTTGCCGTGTGGACAATATTCTTAAATCTTTTGAAAGTTTCTTGAAGTAAAAAAATTCATTGGGAATTACTAAATAAGGTTGACGTTTTCTGGCGAATCAAAAAACCGGATAGAGTTATGAGGGTTCAAAAAGACCTCCAACTCCCGTTATCGCAGTATGAATGCACTGTGAGCAGATTCTCCCTCACTTTGGCCATGATTCCACCACCGAGGAGCGTATACTAACAAGGATTATTAGACACTAAGGGACTTATCTTCATTTAGGTCTCTTCGTGGGAATCATGAATTTACCTTTGCAGATAAGACACCCAGGGGTTAACGGTGTGTTGCCCACACTAATAGATATATAGTTATGCTTCTTCGTCAGATTAACCAGCATGGAATAATACACCTATATGCGGGTTATCTCAATTTTTGGTATTTTGTCAGTTAGAACACATCGTGAGAAAGGCGACGAAATGCGCTACTACGTATATATTCAAAAAACAAACATTACTTTGCACATTTTAAAACAAAGTGGATATGTCTATTAGCTTTTGTTGCGAATTAGCCACAAATACGAAATGTTTCAATTTGTTCAGAAGAAAAAACGGAACCCATCCTTTTTTGCATAAAAATAACATTTATCTTCCGGAATGGTTTAAGATTCGTATCAGCAAGGTTAACAAGTGCATTTTGCTATAAAATGCCTTTTGAACTAACCCTGTAGATTTCTCAATAAACTAGTAGTGAGGGCCGGAAAGCAGATGTATTTGGGATAAACAATTAGAAATTCTCAAAGACTACTTGATCAATCTACTCAAATTTTGTTGTGGTTATTTAGAAGTACGAATCTTTCGAATTTGGAGAATTTAAAATATCTGCGAGAAACCATCGTCGCATTAGCAAGAAGAGCCATAACCTGCATTTTGCTCGGTTTTCGGCCATAACTTTTTTGCTATTAGTCGGATCTTTTAACGTGTGGTCTCGTTTTATAGGTCTCATAAATACCTAATAGTCTTATATTAAGAGTTTTTTCGTTCCTGCGAACACTTTAGATTGAATCCCAAGAAACACGTTTTCTCATTCTTTGTTGTCGAATACCCCTTTGAACAACTTGCAGCAATATTTCTTCCGTCCAGTGATATTTTCATCTAATATTAATGATTTGATAATACATTCTATCTATGAGAATATTTACAATGAGTCTATTGTAAAAAATCCACATGTACTTCTGCTTATCGGAAAAACCTTTATTTTTATTGCAATATTACATTGAAATTTTCTGCGGTTAAAATACCTCCAACAACTACAGCGAGAGAAGCATGAGTAAATTCGTACCAGACTATCAACATAGCACATTAAAAAATGATTTATACAGACTCAGAACTATATGACGCCCATTGAATACCATCGTTTACCTTCAGATTGATATGGCTGTAAGTACCGATGGCACGGTAACCATAACAATACGCATACATCAAAACATCGCTTACTCGCAAGCATTCGAACACTTGCAGGTGCATCAATCAAACTGCACTGCTCGATGCTCGAATGGTATCGTTCAGAATGACGACCCCATCCCGCTTACGGTAATTACTACCATTGCAATTGCACAGTGGCGGAACAGGATTATGGTGTTTAAGGACATTAGTTAGGTTCAGTTGTGCATGAGCGTCTAATGCCCGGTTGCATCGTCTTTCTCAAATTTACCACTTAGCAAATATGAGCAGAATTTTAGATTAACATCAAATTGAGTTTTTGTTACGTCACATCGGTCTGGTAAAAACTTAGCTACAACAGTGCATCCGTAGGAAAATTACGTCTGTAACTAGAAATCAGTTGGTTGAATTGCTCGTGTTTTCTTCCATACACAAGTTATACGAATAATGAGGCAACACATAAAATTTGTATTTAAATTGATTGAAAGTAATTTCTTCCCTCTACCATTATTATAGTTGCTGTTGTAAACAGAGATCTATCATTTGGCGTTTCTTTTAGATTAAAAGGGATTCCAGCAAATCGGTGAAACGCATCACGATTCATGGCCAAACTTGGTTGTTGTTTCTAATAATAATACAAGACATTATCATCAAGTGAGCTTTTTGGAAGTTGGCATTAAGAACGTTTCATATCCGCAGTTTATAATTCACGTAGTTAATCAAGCGGAATCGCACAGCAACCCTCTGTTGCGTGATTCAGTAGACTACTCAGTCGAGCAAGTTTGCAAACATTCCAGGCCGCGCCTCGCACTGTGATCAAAATTAAGTTGTAAATTCAGACCACCCAAAATTATTTCAGTATACAAAACCGATCAAAATTATTTTTGGGAGTTAGAAAATGATTCGAGTAGTCAAAGCAATAATACTTAAGCTATTTCAAATAATTTACTTCTTTTTTTGCTCTATTTCTGCCTTCCTTTCTTTCATTCTTTCTCTTTTCCCCACGTTTGGTATCTGGGTAGCCAGGCCTGACAGACTAACAGACCGACGAGACTTTTAACTAAGAGCAAAGGTCCACCGGACCGCTCTGACGAATAATGACGAATAGTATAATTCACGTAGTTCACGAAGAACTTGATAGTCAGTGGTCAGTACGCCGAATCATAACCATGCCAAACCGGAAAGTTGACATTTTAGACTAGAAAAACAACCCTAGGCAGAGAAATTTTTCGACAGCTCAACTGTCTCTTTAAGTTCCACTCAAGATTTAGGTGTTAAGAGTCAAGGTTCAGCCTAGCTTAAAGTTGGTATTAATGGACATAAGAGTAAGCGCTGCGAAGTAGTCGCCTAGTATTCTTGACGTCATCTTGAGCACCAATAATTCGTAATTTTATCTAAAATCTTGATTGTTTGATAGAAGTAACGTATGTCAAACATGTTATGCTGAGCTGCGCTAGTGTTCAACAGATTCAGTCGATAGCGAACGATACTCAGCAACTGAGTTAAACCATACCTCACGCAGCACTAACTCTTAGCAGCTCAGTGCAACTGCAAATAACCATTATTTCAGAATGAAACCCGCTAATCTAAGCTAAGCAAAACGTTGGGAACCAACGGATTTTTATTTTTCACAAAAATATTTTAACTACAGCAAAAAACGATCAAAAAGTCAAAATACAAACTTAAAGGACTAGGCAGATAGAAAGACAGGCAGACTGAAATGAGTTGTATGATTCTTCATGATGTACATGTGAACTAACATCCAAAAAACATGATACCTTAGTTTCGATTTTTTTTTTATGGAGCCGAAACCGATTTCTGCGGACACCCAGACCGATATTATGACAAGAAGAGGTAAATTTGACAAATCAGCCACCCACCTGCAAAGCTCCGCAACTAGTCGAAAGCTTTTGCAATGTCAAAAACAATGACGTGATTATAACCATATGTTGCTACTTTATAAGTGACAATTGCTAAACTTCTGTTCCTCCAAAAACTGAGATAAGATGCCGCCTCTGCAAAGCAATGACTGGCAAAAACGCATCTCATGCTCGTCGTTTAGGCATACTCTTATTAATTATATCTGGCTATGCGGCGAGTTGCTGCGAGAGGTGTAGCGGTAGGTACACGGTCAATTTTTCTTCAATTACTACTCTTAAATGGGTGTGCAGAACGTGAGATGACTGCCAACTCGACCGGACCCCATTAGGAGTCTATTAATAAAACGACGGCCGGTGCAGATGAAAATTGACGTGATGATACCACCTGTACTTGGTATTCGTACGCTTTGATATCCTATGCACTTCAATCTGTCTCACTTTGTAGGCAAGCAGACGCATTAAAGGATATAATCTTTAAGAGGATTTAGCGAACAATGCGTTGCAATACGTAGAATAGCATACTGCTTCATAAAATATACCAAACAATTATCTAATATTGACGCAAGCATAAAATCCGAGTCTGGGCATCGAAGATATCTGGGTTTTTAACCGAATAGGGGATAAAGTCTTGTGACATATCCTTCAACATTGTTGATATCTGAACGAGAAGGAAGCAGTCGCACCGGTCATTTCTTGATATACAGGGTGTTCTTTAATGATATGCGAATATTTAAGGGTGTGAATCTACATGAAAAACTAATGTTAGTTTGCTTTATAAGCTATGGTCAAAAAATGTTTCCTTACAAAAACTCGGAGTGTTGAAGTTTTAGGAAAAAAATGGAAACTAATTAATATTTTCAGAACCGCTTCAGATATTTCACTGATATTTAGTACGTGGTGAAAGTTAATATGGTTGCATATTTTTCAATGCAAAAATGATTTTTAGCTTTAATAGTGGCGTGCGTGCGGGTATTGGCTTCGATATTTTTTAAGAAAAAAATGGTACGCCAATGATTCTTTACCAAATAAAACTTATTTTTGAAGTCCCCGTTGAATTTGAGACAAATGATCCCTCTTGAATTGTTTTCTTTCAATGCGTCATTTTTAAGTAAAAAAATAAAAACCGTTCTATTGTCTAACTTGCAAAATTATTATCAATTTAATTGGAAAAATTAAACACACTAGGGGTAATGAACAACAACAACTGACAACACGAACATAACATTAAAATTAATGAAATGATTACAAAAATTGTTGAAAATGGCACTTAGTATGCATGCTTCCGCCCTCCTTCTCATGGAATAGCGCACTCGTTGAAATATCCCTGGAGTGTTTTTATTCTATCACAAGCTGCAAATATTCTTTCTCTTAATTCCTCTACAGTGTTAATGGGACTTGTGTACACTAGTGTCTTAAGATAGCCCCACAAAAATAAATTTAAACTGTTGAAGTCTGGTGACCTTGGTGGCCATTCTTGGGGCTCATCGCGGCCAATCCAATGATTTGGATAAACTGTTTGTAAATCATTACGAAAGAATGGGCTAATAAAGTGGTTGCCAATAATTCCTGCCCATACGTTAACCAAAAACTGGTGTTGGAAATGGGTTTCGGTTACGGCATAGGATTTTCTTCTGCCCACAAATGATTCTTGTGGAAATTCTGAATGGCATTTCGAGAAAAACTGGCTTCGTCCGTGAACAGAACCATTGATTTAAATTGCGGATTTTGTGTAATTTTTTGAAGATACCACTGACAAAAGGTCACACGCCTTGGAAAACCAATGGGAAGTAATGCCTGTACTGTACCTGTTAAAATATGGTAAGGATATAACAAAAAATGCACTAAAATCATCCAAACAATTTGATGGCAAATATTTAAGTGTCTAGCGATCCTCCTCGTACTCGTTTCAGGATGTTCTTCGACTTCGTGCAGCACCGCTTCCTCAATTTCAGGTGTTCTGACACTTAGAGTTCTACCTTCAGATGTTCCTTTTCGGACAGAACCAGTTTCAACAAGACGACGATGAATATTAAAAAAGGTTCGACCAATTGGCAAAGCACGATCGAGATATCTCTGGTGATAAATCCGTCTGGCTTGGTCACCATTACCGTCGGCAAGGCCATATACGTAATGCATTTCCGCCATTTCTGCATTTGAATAATTCACCATTATTAAGATTGTAGAAACCTAAATAATAAAAAAGATGTCTCAGCGAGCATATTTGAATAACAGAGACTTGTCATATTCCAGAGCAACTAGATATTTATTGCTAAATTGCATTCTTCAATTATTACATTAATTTTCTCGGACAATAGAACGGATTTTATTTTTTTACTCAAAAATGGCACATCCAAGGAAAACAATTGAAGAGAGATCTTTTGTTTTAAATTAAACGTGGGGGATTTTTATTTGGCAAAAAACCGTTGGTGTACCATTTTTCTCCTAAAAAATATCGAAGTCAATACCCGTACGCACGCCACTGTTAAAGCTAAAAATTATTTTTGCATTGAAAAATATGCAACTTTATTAACTTTCACCAGGTACTAAATATCAGTGAAATATCTGAAGCGGTTCTGAAAATATTAATTAGAGTGAGTGAAATTAATTGATGACAGGTTAGTGTTCTCTAGATCTAAACAGATATGCATACTCTTTTTAATAAAATTTATTCATGCCAAACCATGTTCTTGGTGATCAGAAGTGCTAGGACATTCAGAATCCGTCAGAATCACTAAATTGTACCGAATTATTGCCAGTGGGAACTTTAACTTCAAAAATACTTTTGTGTTGCATGTAAAGGGAATGGTAAAAAAACTTACTCGAAATGTGGCAGTTAGAAGCATAGAATACAGCTTTCACAGAACTTACCTAAAAAGAAACAAACATACGTTAGTTACATTCTGGTAAAGCGCACGTACAAACTAAGCATTTTTTGGTTAGCCTCAAATTACATTTTCCTAAATCATTTGAAAAATATTTTAACTACATTGACACGTATAGCTACAAGAAACAGAATAATTTGTTACTGTAAATAATTTACGTTTAATATTGAGTTTCATGCTTTTCCAATTCCGACAAAAAAACACACTATTTCCTCTTGTGAATACATTTTTAATAACCTCATACGTTACAAAATCTGAATAAAAAAATCCTTGGTACAAAAGTGATGATTTCAAAAATGCATGAGAAGAAAAATGTTGTGTCGGTTGGAATAGAACTCACAACTTTGATAACTTATTTGGGCACGTTTTATATTTCACACTGCACAAC